ATTGGAAGCAGCTGAGTTTGTTAATAACCGTGGATTCGCTCGTTTAACAACCCGATCTTTTTTAAGAAGATGTCGAGCGTGTATTGCGGCTGAAGGAAAACAGTTTGAGCATTTGCTGTAAAGGTAAATCATTATCAGCAGCATTTTGACGCCCACTGTTGTGCAAACAGTTATCCTTAAGGGTCCTTGTGCGTTTTCATAATCGCTGTTTGATTAGGAAATTTTTAAAAATTTTCATCAGTTTTTTTTCAAATAAAAATTGTGCATAAGTTAACGAGTAATCTTCTAAGTGTTATACCATTTTGGAATCGTTATTAAATGCGCCAACTTTTAAGGTTACTTGCCAAACTCTCGTAGTACATTTTTTTCCAGTACAGCCAGTTAAAGTTGAGCAAAGTTTTACTTTGGAATACTTGGTTGGGAAATAAGTGGCAATTTTTCGTGAACGAGAAAAGTTGGCAGTAACGTTGAGACACCAGTTTGAAGATGCATTATTCATCATTACATTGTAAAAATAAAATCCAAAAAAAGTTAATATTTATAGCAACAGGAGTTGACAGACTGCCGTAGGGTGTGAAATTTCTATATCTTTTTCAAGGACCTATAATTTTCAAAACACATACATAAACATTTTTTAAATATTTTTCTGATAGCTGTTATGACTTTGCTTATCACCCGGTTTCGGCTTGACGTTGACTTCTGGGACACCCTGTATATAATCCAAAGGCATCATAGGTAACATAATTTATGGTAAATAAAGCTGACAAATATTCCTACTTCATGTTACAAACTCAGCGAAGTGATGTCAGGCAAAAGAATAAAGTAGTTAGAGATCAGTCTTAAGCCTCATTTTTATATAGTGAATTTCTGGGCGTATAAAAAACTTTTTGTGGTGGTCAGCATTTTAAAGACCATAAACACTCGATTTTTTGGAAAAACTCCTACCAAAATATGAATATTGATCAACAGTGATACTTAAGAGAGTTTGTGTGCCAAGAATTATACCTAATTTATTATATATTATATACAAGGTGTCCGGAAATGGTAGGATAATCCTGCAACTGGGAATAGGTCACAACATGACCAACTGTCAAAATTTTGTTTTGCTAAAAGTCTCACGGTTTTTGAAGTTGAGTCATTAATTTTCAGATAATGATTGTAGAAGGAAGATAAACCAAAATATGTGTGTAAAAATAAAAAAAAATTAAAAAAAAAATTTTACCTTCTATAAAGTATCCTCCCGACAAGTATTTCAGTGCGGACCTGTATTTCATCGTGAGGTCTTGGAGCACCGGCATGCCATCCCCTGTGAGGTCTTAAGTCACCTGATTCACGAGCCTGTTGTACTACATTAACAAAGGCACGAGGGGTTGGTTGCACTCGATTGGGAAACCGATCCGCATAAACATGTGCCATTTTTTATTTCGTTTGAGCCACGCAACAGACACCACTATTCACTCACGCGTTACCGACTGACACTGACTGTATACAACCGAATAAAATAATTGTAAAAACATCGTTCCAAATTCTTTCGCTTTTTTGTTTCCGATGCGATGAACCGATAAGGCGGAGTATATCCGTTGTCGCCAAAAACGAGCACATAATATTATTATTGAGACAGGGCGGTACTCAAACTTCTAAAGGGCTATAACTTTGTTACTTTAATTTTACCACAAAAATGTTAAAGGAAAAAAACATTTCTTTTGATCAGATCTACTCACTGTTAAAATAAATGACTCAACTTCGAAGTCACCCTGTATATAGCTATCAATTTGCTTAGCAACAATCGACACTCGTCTAGTTAAATTGTCGCCGTTTCCACAAATATCATTTTCAAGCCGGGTTTGTTTCAAAATGCTCAGTGTTGTTTTATTCATATATCATTCTAATGCAACATTTCAATGAAAACCAATGTACACGTCTAACCTTGACAGCGTCTAGTAACAAAGAATCACCGTGCCAAATACAAGAAAAATGTTGTGTGATAAAGTTACAAGGTTATCCAAAATTCATAAGATGGCGACCTTGAACGTGACCTTGACTATGACCTTCAAGCTCAGAAAGTTTTCTCACCTGGAAACCCCTGTGTTTGACCCCAGAAATAAAACGAACAAGACACTTTACGTTGAGGTATGCCCATAACTTTGACTATGACCATCAACGTCATTAGAATATCAAATGAATTTTTAACGGAAAACCATGATATTCAAAAAGTGTATGAATTTTCGAATAATCACAACATGTAAATCCTAGTAAATCCAGCCCTCAATTCCTTTGTTCAGATCGTACAAAATAGGAAATCAAAGCCAAGTTGGATCTACAGTAGGCGGACTGTAGAACTCACACATTGTATAATATGATTTACATATTAAAAGTTCACGGCAGTTCTTAAGTATTGTGGCATCGTCAGCAAAAACTACGAAGTTACCATTTATGTTTAACTTTATTAAATCGTTTATACAGACTAAGAATAGGAGCGGACCTAATACCGATCCTTGAGGTACCCGTGCGTTTATATTTAATTTATTCGAAATATGTCTTGATAATTTCACAAATTGGGATCGATTATTTAAATATGTTTTAAGCCAGTTGAGTGAAATTCCAGTACATGTTTAATTTTTTTAATAATGTACTATGATTAACACAGTCAAAAGTATGGTATTTTTTTGTTTTTGAAATCCAGATTGGTTGCCATTTATAATTTTGTTGGTTTTTAGAAATCCTCTTAATCTAATTTGAACTATTTCTTTGTTTTAAAGTTAAAATACCTCCATTAATTCATTTTACGCTCTGATGTCGTTCAACCATTGAGTAATTATGATCAACTTTCCTATATCCTCAATAAATATGAAACATTATAAATATTCAGACTAACTGATTAAAATTCAGTTCCAAGGGAAATAAATGCGAGCGATGGTAGTTGAATCGGCTACGTAAATACCAATGGCAAATTGAAATCTCTTAATTAGTTATAGCGAATGTATATTTCTTTGGCGTTGCCCCATCATGCTAAATATTTCAATTAACTCATACGATCTTGTTATTTTATTATTACACCAATGCAACCGCGCAGGCAGAAGCTTAAATGTCAGGGTACTGCGGTTGATATGAGGATCCCATTCTTATAGGAGAGTAACGATCGTATCTACGTCAATGTTTGTGAGACTAAGTACTGCGTCAATTTACTCGAATCGTGCTACCATTTCATATTCTGCAGATGGAGCGGGTATGTCAATAAAGCTGTACGGCAGTCATTAGTAGCTCTACAGAGATGTTGGTTAAGATGGTGGTTTATTAACGATCGGTAGCAGTACCGTACAGCAGGCACTGAAAAACAATCACCATCAACGTTAATATATCACTGTTGATGTTGATATCATAAATCAGAATGGTCACGTATTAAAAACGGTGATACCTCTTCAAATAGTTGGACGAGTAATTTGTACCAACAGTGGTGGCGTTTAAAGTAAATTAAATATTTTATCCCACGATACCAAGTACCACGTACATATACTAAGTGACATATAAATCCGAACACCCAGTTTAAATGGTTTTATTTTAATAAAAGTTGGTGAATGTATTTATCTTACTGTAAATAAGAAATGAAAAAATTTTCAGCCTTATCAGTTGGACATTCCGGTTTTTATACTGTTTTTTTTTCATTCACTAACGCTCTAAAAATGAATATTTCAGCCGCAGTAAAGAATCAACGTTGGCGGATTTTGGTTAGGGGTCGTATAGTGGGACTTCGGGAAGCTGGACTTTCTTTTCGGGCAATTGCACTTAGAGTGCAAAGAAGTGTAGAGACTGTGGTTAGGTATTGTCAGGGATGGCTTCGAAAAGGCCGTACGCAAAGAGCAAGGGGCACTGGACGCCGCCGTAGAACAACAAACCGTGAAGATCGCCGCCTAAGATTATTGGCCTTAAGGGACCGTTTCTCCACTACCAGGTCCATTGCAAATGAATGGTTTGCAGAACACGGAAGACCTATTGGCATGCGAAGTGTTTACCGACGAATGAGAAGTTTTGGCTTGTTTTCATACCGGCCACACTGGGTCCTCCCTTTAGCTCGAGAACACCGACGTAATCGCCTTGAGTGGTGCAGACAACGGTCACTCTGGGATCAGGAATGGAACAGTATTGTCTTTAGTGACGAGTCTCGACTTTGTTTCGGCATGCACGATGGTCGTGCCAGGGTTAGAAGGCGACGTGGCGAAAGGAGGAATCCACAGTTTTTTGTTGAAAGACATGTTCATCACACTGTTGGAGTTATGGTTATTAGAGGTAACATGAACGCGCAGCGTTATATCCACGAAGTTCTAGAACCCTATCTTGACACCCTGGCAGATCCAACTTTCCAACAAGATAATACCCGACCACATGTTGCAAGAGTCACAATAGACTTCTTTCAACATAATGATGTCACATTGTTACCATGGCCACCAAGATCTCCCGACTTATCCCCAATTGAGCACGCGTGGGATATGATGGGTAGGAGATTGCTCAATTTGCAACGTCCTCCTCAGACTCTAGAAGCACTTCGAGAGGAGTTGGTGGTTGCCTGGAATAAGATACCACAGGAGGACATTGACCACCTGATCAGAAGCATGCCTAGGCGCGTTGGAGAATGCGTAGCACATCAGGGTGCATCCACCCATTATTAAAGGTCAAAGGGCTTTAAAGCAGTGCAATCATTTTGAAATTTTTATCATTTACTTATTATGCTTCATTAAGTACTTATACAAAATTTTATTAAAATAAAACCATTTAAACTGGGTGTTCGGATTTATATGTCACTTAGTATATATTATATGAGATTGAGAAACAAACTCTGTAATTTTCCGATGGTACAGTTGATAGATCCTAAAAACATATTGCCCGAAATGTTTGGGTTTCAGTTGTAATTGGTCGTAAAACTTTGTAAGTACTTTTTACGATGTTAACCTGTAAGTAGCCTGTAAATAACGTCAAATAGTTATTACTGCAGTATAGTCACTTACCTTTAAATCTACCATCTGAGCTTCTGGACTTAGACGAGGCAAGGATTCGGTACAGGTTCTTCTGCAGGGCCTCTTTTTCTCTGTACCTGAAATTAGAAAGTTAGCTACTAAAAAAATTGTCATGAAAAAAAGAACAATAGATGTGGAAAATAGACGACGGATACGGGCGATAGGTGAAGTCATAATAGTTGTCAGAAAAATCGCCTACTTTTAAAATTACAAGCTTTAAAAGAGAATTGATCTGATTCGCTACGATATTCGAAAAACATATGTTATTATACACATTTTAAAATAAAGCGAACGTGTCTGTCACCTTTTGTGGCGAAGAAAAAAAGGCTTTCGAGATTCCTTAATACTTTTGAGTATACATATTTAGGCACAATTAATTTCAAACTGTCTTAGACTAGTTAGTATGTAGCATGTGCTGAATGGCCAAATTTACTTTCAACAAAGGAATACACACAGTTGCCACAAGGCAGAGCGATAATATACACTCCATTTTTTCTAAATTTTAAGTAGGAAATAAATCGCCAAATATACTTGGTCCTAAAATCTTTAACATCCTTCCAAAGGATATACAATCAAAATCACTTTAAGTATTGTTTGAAAGGATTTTTAATACATAAATGTTTGTATAATGTCTGTGAGTTTATCAGTGTGTAAATGTTGTTTATTATTTTGTTTTAATATAGTTTTGTCATAACTCTGTATATAGATGCTCTCTTGACGATTTCTATACAAACTTTGTCTGTCTCAAGAAAAATAAATTATTATTATTATTATTACACTGGACAACAAATTTTAGTTTTTTAATTGTATCTTGTGGGAAAAGTGCACTTCTTTGTTAATTTTGGGGCGCTGAATCCAAAAATGACAATGAAATAAAAAAATTAGTTGCGGTTTAGAAAAAAAACTTTTTATTTTTAAGGATATATTAAAAAAAGTAGCAAGATTCATATACTTATAAGAATCACTATATGCGCTGTCTTTTTGCTGTTCTTTTATGGATCGTTTCTGGAGCATCTCTACCAAGAGTCCAACAGTAGTCTGCAAGCATGGAAGGATTAAACTTTCCCTGGTACCTTTTTTCCATTGTTGAAATATCCTGATGAAAACGTTCGCCGTGCTCATCACTTACGGCTCCGCAATTGTCAGGAAAAAAATCCAGGTGTGTAGGAAATGTATCTTAAGAGACATATTACAGCCCATCTTTTGATACGATGACAGCATATTTTTTACAAGGGTTTTATAGTTGTCAGCTTTTCTATTTCCCAAGAAATTAGTGACCATCAGACGGAAATCATTCCAAGCAGTTTTTTCAATACCTGTTAAAGTGTTTTCAAACTGTGTATCTTTCAAAATATTTCGAATCTGTGGCCCAACAAAAATACCTTCTTTAACCTTTGCCTCACTTAGTCTTGGAAATTTCTGACGCAGGTATTGAAAAGCTGACCCATCTCTATCTAATGCCTTGACAAAGTTTTTCATTAGGCCCAACTTGATATGCAGTGGTGGTAATAAAATTTTTTTCGAATCTACTAATGGCATATGCTGTACATTTTTTTGACCTGGCTCTAGAAACTGACGAACAGGCCAGTTTTGTCTGGTGTAATGAAGTGCCTTTGCCCGACTGTCCCATTCACACAAAAAACAGCAAAACTTTGTGTAGCCTAGCTGCAGCCCAAGTAAAAGTGCAACAACTTTCAAATTGCCACAAATATGCCATTGGTGCTCATCGTATTTTATGCATGTCAATAGGTACTTCATATTGTCATATGATTATTTCATGTGAACTGCATACCCTACAGGAAGAGATGGTAAAATATTTCCAATATGCAATAAGACTGCCTTTAAACTCAATGTTGAACTGTCTATAAACAATCTCCATTCTTCTGGGTTATAGTTTATATTTAAAGCCGCCAGTAAGCCGTTAATGTTACTGCAGAAAACCAAGTTATTCTCCATATTGAAAAATGGTTCTAAGTCTTTGTGGCGTTTACGAAAAACACATACCGAAACATCGTCTTCTAACAAGTTCCACTGCTGCAGTCTTGTTCCAAGTAACTCTGCCTTACATTTTGGAAGTTCTAAATCTCTTACAAGATCATTTAATTCTGACTGTGTTATTTTGTGCGGTTGGTGGCATGACGTGCTCGGTATAAAATCAGGATCTCTTGACGTTGATGACATATCTTCTTCCTGACGAATCACTCGATCGCCATGATCTGATTCGTTTTCTGATTCGCAAGTGTAGGATTCGGGGGGTTTTGGAATAGGATTTTCGTCACTGTGAGGCACAGGTCTCATCGCAGATGGTATGTTTGGGTAGTTAATAACCGATTTTTTTTTTCTTGGACATACCTGTGGGTTGTCCAACACAAGGTACCATGCAAAATTAACAATCATTAATATGATTTGTAGGCTCTCTCCAAACCATTGGGACAGCAAAGACTTGAAGCACATGTATTACAGCAGATGTGGGGTGCCCACTGTTTGTCTTGATCACCTAGTTTACAACCGAAATAAAGCCGATATGCCTTTGATATTAGTGGAGTAATAGACCGTCTCTGAGACGCAAAAGTCACATCACCACACACGTAACAAAACTGATCTGGATTGTTTACACACTTTCGAGACATCTTGCATGAACGCTGTCAGCCAACTGAGGAAAAAATGGCTAATATAAAACAATATAATGTACACGTATGTATAACGTAACACAATCATGGCGATTACATAATCTTTCCTTGTCGAATATAAAAATGTAGCACGTGCATTCTTGTGAATTACAGTATATTAACACTGTCACAGCAGGAACACATATAATTACCGTATCTCTAAAACTTGAACTAATATTGAAAAAATAAGTTTCATTCCGGTTTTAGCACATTAAAAATAGTAATATGTTGTTTATTTTATTTAGGATATTTTTTGGCTGTTGATCACTGTTATTGATGACTGCATGACTTTGTCAAATAAGTAGGTCACGCTGTCTAGTTTCTTTACGAAGAAATATAACTCGCTGAAATTTTTTTCTAACAGTATTAATATATAATTCGTCTGTTTTGGAAATCTCGAATGATTAAAATGACTGCGAGTTCAAAATGTTGGAAAACAAACTCGAGAAAACGAAAAAACAGTAGACCAATATGAATTGTAGCGATCTGACCGTCTAATATATAATATATAATAAATTAATAAAAGTAGCGTTACAGATAGTCTTGTCACTCTATCTAAGAAAAATTAAATTTGTAGCAATGCGAACTAAAAGATCATCACAGGATGTAGGTTTTTCCGACTTTTTTTAAAGCCATTACCTTGAAAAGTAATCTACATGAGGAGGCTTTTTCGAGTGGTCTAGGCAGTTCAAAAATCGGATTAACAAACTTTCTTCAAGCTCCTAGCATTTAGGCTTCTGCTTGCGCGGCTGCTCGATTGTAAAAAAAAAGATAGAATGTCACCCGGCACTGAACGCAAGAGAGCGCGAGAATGGTAAATAGATAATGATCTGACGAGAGGCTCCTTTTTTGAATTTATCGCGGAGGTTGTCTTTTTGTGTGTGAGATGCCGCATTATGTAACTGACGAATATGAGAAGATCGAGAATTTCCATCGCTAAGCCGTGTTATTAGGAGATGGTTTGATATATCGACCTGTTACTTTGCATTATTCTCACTTGGACAAACTCTGAATACGATCAGATCGTACGATATTCCCACCATCTACACCATTCTATGTAGATGAGAAAGGAATAGATTTCAATATTGTTTTCGTGGATTGGATACGATTAAAACATCGTCGCCTCCCGTTCATGTGTTGAGGTCATTTTTATGCTGTAGCCTGGTATCAAAATTATACTAAGTGACATATAAATCCGAACACCCAGTTTAAATGGTTTTATTTTAATAAAAGCTGGTGGATGTATTTATATTACTGTAAATAACAAGTGAAAAAATTTTCAGCCTTATCAGTTGGACATTCCGGTTTTTATACTGCTTTTTTTTAATTCACTAACGCTCTAAAAATGAATATTTCAGCCGCAGTAAAGAATCAACGTTGGCGGATTTTGGCTCTTGACATCCTTTACGATCGGTTACGATGCCTACAGTATATTCAGATAAGAGATAGACCGGACATAAACAAGACTACGTGATCATCGAACGCTGTAACATTCGGCAGGGACGTATTAAGAGTCACGCAGTACATATTTTAGATAGTAGATGCTGCTTTGCGTAACTTAATTAATTAAAAAATACAGTAGCTTTATAATTACTTATAACTTACCGAATTTGATGAACGACATCTTTTATTGGAAAGATGAGCTTGATGAGCTTTCATCATCGCTACTGCCTGAAGCACCAACGTCAATAATGAATGGCTCGACTTGTTCCTCTAAAATATTGTCCAGTTCCCACATTCTCTTTTCAACTTTGTCTTTCACGTGCTTAATACAGTTTTCCCATTTTTGCGCTGTTATTAATTCTAGTGCTTCTTTGAAAAGTCCTTTGAGGTCACAAAATTTAAAAGTTGTATTGTGCTTAGCTATATAATTTTTAACCTCTGCCCATATGAGCTCAATGGGATTGAGCTCGCAATGGTATGGAGGTAAACGGAGCACAGTTTTATTTTGACTTGCTGCCATTTCGTCAATGGCGTATTTTTGATATTCCGCCTTGTGATCCTTGACAATTCTTAATAATTGTACTTTCAGCATTGCTTCTTCAAAGTTGATATTTTTCGAGAGGAGCCAATTTTGAACATCAACTTTCCTTGAAGCCGTTGTTGGGACCTTCTCCATTCTTCGAGAATGATAAGGCGCATTATCCAACACAATTACTGCGTTTTCCTCTAAGTTCGGTAAAATTTTTTAAAACCACTGTTCAAACGATTCGCCATTCATTTCCTCGTGGTAATCTCCAGTTTTCTTAGACTCAAAGCACCACAGACCGTCAACAACAAGTCCATCCTCACTGCCAATATGGCAGATAATGAGCCTTTTCCCTTTACCTGGAAATCGAAGTACTAACTGGTGTAGATTTATTTCAATAAGCGAACCTTTTTCAAATATTTTCATCACATTCAGCGAAAAAACATTGAGACATGAGTATCAGATTGCTATAATTGGGATTATTTAGTCATATTGAAAGAAAGAATATTGAACGTCGTATGATTACTCAGCGCTTCACAATTCAATTTAAAGTTATAAACCTTTAAAAAATGAATGATCAGGAACCTGAAATACGCGCAAATATTAATATTAACAAATTATAACTTTATAAAGCTTAAAGTATGAATTAAAATGATTAGAAATATTAGGAACGGTACACAATATAAAACTTAGTAACTTTTTTTAAGTTTATAATATTCGACATATTTTAAGATTATATTAAAAAATTATTGAAATATCGAAAACACATAAAAACATGGCTTAAAAAAGTTCTAACAAATGAAAATGACAATAAAACATCCACGCATTTTATCGAAAGTTATAAAAGTTTTGTTACTTGTAATATGTTTTATCTGCCCCCTGGAATTAATGTTTAGAACCTTGTTCCCAAGGTTTGAAAAACATCCGATTGTTGTCTATTACTCGTATTTACCTGCTGGACTTTTTAATCCGGTGGACAGTCCATCTAGAAAGGCCCTTCTGGATGAAGTTACAGAATCATCAACCCATACTTTACTTGTAGTGTGTCCTGCGTTTACCCACGTTTCATCAAGGTAATAAATCTTCCTGTTTTGATTTCCATATTTCCCAATTTTTGTTAAATAATCCCTCCTCCATAGCACAATTTCTTCTCTATCCAGTAGTAAACTATTACGACCCCGTTTTTTCCATTTGAAATTTAAATGCTTCAGTAACGCATGGAAAGTTGATCGTTTGAAATTTGGCAACGTTGTATCTCCATTTACCTCCTGCAATACTTTATCTATAGTAGGTATTTCATTCCTAACGAAGAATTCATGCACTTTCCTCCTAATCGCATGCTTATCAGCTTCATCCAATGATTTAACAATACTTTTGCGATGTTTACTGGTCATTGGCTCAGAAAAGGTGTGATTTTTTTTGTATCGTCTTAACACATTAAACACTGATGCGCGACACACCCCAACTTTGTGAGAAACCTTCACAACAATTTCTTTGATGGTTGATGCCTCGTTCTCCTCGCGCTCGATCTTATATATATTCAAAATGACCTCTTTCATTTCTGCACTCAGGTGTCTTTTTTTAGAGCGTTTCCTAGGTGGACTACAGGAGTTTACAACTTCATCGGCAGTATCTGTACTACTGGGCATTTTGCGCAAGCAGTTGATAACAATAACAATCAATAACAAGGTATAACAATAACAACGACAAACTCAACAACTTAATAAGATAACAAACGAAAACGTCCAAAGAAATATCAAATTGCAATGATGCACACGACATACGTAACACGTCTGAACCTGAATGTGACTCTGCCTTGATACGACTGCTCTGCCGCTCGGCATAGGCATTTAATTGCGAATTGACCAATGAGGGCTCCTGTTTTACGTCGAGACGGCGGCGTTAGCGTGAAAATCACCCGAACCTTTTGTTTACATTCGGTCTATCTCTTATCTGAATATACTGTTGTAGAGTACGGAGACCTGTACGATTTCGTCAACTTAGTGAGTTTGATAGGGGCCGTATAGTGGGACTTCGGGAAGCTGGACTTTCTTTTCGGGCAATTGCAGTTAGAGTGCAAAGAAGTGTAGACACTGTGGTTAGGTGTTATCAGGCATGGCTTTGAGAAGGCCGTACGCAAAGAGCAAGGGGCACTGGACGCCGCCGTAGAACAACAGACCGTGAAGATCGCCGCCTAAGATTATTGACCTTAAGGGACCGTTTCTCCACTACCAGGTCCATTGCAAATGAATGGTTTGCAGAACACGGAAGACCTATTGGCATGCGAAGTGTTTACCGACGAATGAGAAGTTTTAACTTGTTTTCGTACCGGTCACACTGGGTCCTCCCTTTAACTCGAGAACACCGACGTAATCGCCTTGAGTGGTTCAGACAACGGTCACTCTGGGATCAGGAGTGGAACAGTATTGTCTTTAGTGACGAGTCTCGATTTTGTTTAGGCATGCACGATGGTCGTGCCAGGGTTAGAAGGCGACGTGGTGAAAGGAGGAATCCACAGTTTTTTGTTTAAAGGCATGTTCATCACACTGTTGGAGTTATGATTTGGGGTGCTATAGCTTATGGTTCCAGGTCACCTTTAATCTTCATCAGAGGTAACATGAACGCGCAGCGTTATATCCACGAAATTCTAGAACCCCATCTTTTACCCTATCTTGACACCCTGGCAGATCCAACTTTCCAACAAGATAATGCCGGATCACATGTTGCAAGAGTCACAGTAGACTTCTTTCAACATAATGATGCCACATTGTTACCATGGCCACCAAGATCTCCCGACTTATCCCCAATTGAGCACGTGTGGGATATGATGGGTAGGAGATTGCTCAATTTGCAACGTCCTCCTCAGACTCTAGAAGCACTTCGACAGGAGTTGGTGGTTGCCTGGAATGAGATACCACAGGAGGACATTGACCACCTGATCAGAAGCATGCCTAGGCGCGTTGGAGAATGCGTAGCACATCAGGGTGCATCCACACATTATTAAAGGTCAAAGGGCTTTAAAGCAGTGCAATCATTTTGAAATTTTTATCATTTACTTATTATGCTTCATTAAGTACTTATACAAAATTTTATTAAAATAAAACCATTTAAACTGCTTGTTCGGATTTATATGTCACTTAGTATATATGCCAAAAGTTATTAAAATCGGATAAACATATGTAGGCGTTTACCTTTTTTGTCACCTAGTATACTTATGAGCAGCTAAATATAATACTGACCTGCAGAAAAATTCCGGTCTAATCCGGTATCTGGTAAGAAATTCGTCGTACGTGCGAAGTACTGCCAATAGATGTCCTGCCACCAGAGCATTCTGCTCGTACGTTTCATCCGGTAAAAGCATTTTGAAGGCATCTTACTTGGCTCTGAAAAAAATATATTCCTTAAAATGAAATCGGAAAAAATAGAAACGATTTGACCAAATTTTAGTTTTTCCCAAATTCCTCAGTAAACCTTGAAATTTTCGGGAGATCCAGCCATGGTAGTCCCTGCGCACACTCCGCTATTGTTCGATAAATGATTCTGCGTGGATTGTTTTCATTCTGGATTATCCGACAGATTTCGGCTTTAAGTACCCGCCCAACCAACTTGTAGATGCTTTTTCTTATTTCCAATTAATAAGACATCTTAATGCGAAGACTTCAAAATAGATAAATGTCAACTGACAGTAAAGTAAAAAGTAAACAAACTTTTGTTTGGCAACTTGATATTATTTTGTGTTTGTTAAAATTAAAGCCAATGAACTTTGTGCCAAAACTAGTAGGACATACACTCGCATTGTCGAGACTGAAGAAATATTTTGTAGAATGTTCAGAACGCAAATGAATACAATTTTAAATGTGCAAGCTCAAATTCCGTTTAGTAGCCATTCCTTGTAAGGCGAGATTGATGTAAAGTCGGAATGAGAAATTCACTACATTTCATGCATTCGTATAATCCTCTGGAGAGCATAAACTGTTAGCCATAAAACGCGATAACCATTTCTTGCGTTTGTAGTTGTTGAGAAGCCGACGTATCTTTGAATCAAAGTGACGAAAAACCTTTGCGATAACAATGGCACAAGTGCCATCTATTACCGGAATCGGCTATCGCCAAGTGAAGAGCAACTGATTGGTGTAGCTCGATATTTTCATAAACTATTTGCAGGGCCTTACTCTAATACTAATAAGTAAATAGTTTTGGTTGAAAGAAAATAATATACGTAATAATGTACAAATATACGTGCCTAAAACATGATTTATTATATTACACATTTATTACAAAACAAACGAACGAGATAATCGTGACCAAAAGAATGTAAACATCGTTTGATAGTTGCGGCGGGGTCCGGGGTGTAGCGTCTCAGTTACTTCAAGGGCTAGTTCAGCTTTTTTCAGAAATTTAGAGTTGGACATTTTGTGGCGGCCACATTGGTAGCAAGAGAACTTACTGAAATGAACCTGCCTATCCACGATTTGGTTTCACCTTTTGAAACGTTTTGACTGATCCCAATTCTTGGAAACCTCCAGCGAAGGCGTATGGAGTCAATCTACTTGAAGCCATTCTGTTTGTAGTCCTAGTTGACTTGAGATCAAGAAGAATAATCAAGGGCATAACCAAGGAATAACCGCGGTCTATCATCACTTAAAATTGCCTCAAGAATCACGTAAATGAGTATTTCTCAGCAAATTCCGAAATTCATGTCCTTAGCCATTGATGCTAAGTTGCATGGATTTATCATCAATTTAGAATTTTTATTATATCAATAAGTATCTACACTAATATTTTAAAAGCAAAAATTTAGATAATATATTGACCCAAAAAAATACGATTAATTTATTAGTCTAAAAGTCATTCCCTCATCTCGTCCCTGGGTCTGAAATTAATAATAAAAAAATATATACAATCAAATCTGTTCATATTCTTATAAATTAGATATTACTAAAATATTTGGTAATAAGTATGGATTGTATAGTCAAGCTTTCATAGCTAAAAAATAGATATGTATATTTTTATATATATATATATATATATAAATCTATTTAAACTATGTCCCTTAAATGAAATCATTCCCTCACCCATTATAGATATTCGATTTGCGGTCACACCATTTGATATTTTTGCACGCAGCTGTTATGTTTTTGAAACTTGGCAATACTGCTAATAATGTCAACATGGCGGAACTTCTTAATAGTGAAAAGAGTTGCTGCAAAAAAGTATTGGATTTCAATAATTAGAGCATTACATTTCTCTGTATCATTACCTCACTGTTTATATTAAAAATTAAGTCATTGGGTTAAGTTGAAAAACGTTTTTTAGCGACACTTCGCCTTTTTATACTTTGTATAAATAAAGCCGGATTATTATTATCATTATTATTATTGAAATTCCATTCCCACATCCTATCAGTCATTTTATAGTTTTTTAAGTCATTTTTCCACATGTTATACACAAAAATATAGAGGACCTTCATTTTCAATGAAACTCACTAAACTAAAACTTTATACTTCTGCAAAAAAAGTATATATTTTCATTACTTTTTTTTAAAGAAATGCAAAATGAAATTTCTAAATTTGTTGAGAAATACCCAAATATATCTGATACGTTCAAGCTGATGGCTGTAACTTATAATCAGTTGATCTGTGCTGCATTTTTGTCCAAACATAACCGAAAAGTGGGCCCACCAAAAGCTTTCCGGCCATCCGAAATGCATAAAAAACGCATCAACAAAGCGCATAAAGATAAAATTCAAATCGAGCCAGGACACACAAACTTGTCAAGCTGTAATTAAAGATTTATGGCCTCGTATCTCTGCTACTGCTGTGTAATGGCAGCTCTCGATCATAGATGACTTAAATATTTCAAACAACATATAAGAACTGTGTCGTGTTCCCAGAACGGTTTTATCTAGGATATTTCAAATCCTAAACTACAAGACATTCGTTTGATCAGCGGTAAATTTCTTTACAAAGCTCCCAATGATCATTATCAGAAGTATGAGAGAAGTAATACAGTAGTAATGTTTAGATATTTGTCTCCAAATTAACAACCATTACGCATAAAATAAATGACAAATAAATGAATAGCCCGCAGAAGGATGGCCGGCACGGATATCATGTAAAAAACCTACAAAACGTCAAAAGAACCTATAAGATGTTAACTTGCAGACTAGGTAGTTTTCAGGGCGCAAACAGTCATTCCACGTTTGCTCACTAGGATCCTTGTGAACGTCCATCTATGAAGGAATCACTGAACTAACTACACGCATTATTGGTTGCATAGTTTTGTGAGCCTAATAAACCATGGGCGTAGTGTTATCATAATCATAAGTTACAAATTTCAAAATCCTCCGTCTCCAAAAGGCTTTTTCCCATTGCCTAAAGCACACCTACACCCGTCTTTGGTGGTCGAGTATTAAAAATCCAAAATTATTGTCAACAGACAACAGTTTTGTTTGGCAGTCATAACCAAAATGAATATCCATTATTAAAGAGCTTTAAAAAATGAATATTCATACCGTAGTTAGTCCATGAAAGTTATTCATGCCTCGTCTCAGGTTTCAATTACAGTCTCTTTGGAACCAATGAAGTATTTTATTTCTCGTTGTCGAATTGATTAAATGTAATAGCTGTATGGGAGTCACGCGAACTGGTTGAAAAGTGCCGTCAAGTAGACGGACTCAGTACTTTGCACGCGTCCATAGTAGGGCTTCTCTCGATCAAGACCAGGACTTGCCTTGGTCTTGAATTGCATAAAAAAAACAAACCGTTCCAAATTCATCATAAAAATGCTAAAAAGATACGGCCAGCAAGTGAAATCATTCTGACATCGATGGCAGCATGTGATGATAACTGTCACAGCCTTCTGCGTTCGTACTAACGTCAAGGGAGCATTAAACATTTGAATATAATAATAATAGGCAGGTAAAATAAAGGCCTTATTATTGAATTCAAATGTGCAATGCTCCTTTGAACATTCGTCAAGAAGGCGTGAATGTTTAATGTACAATTTTAGAGATATTATGTTTTTTGATATTATAAGACATGTACAGGGTGTCCCATTTTCAATGATATTACGGGGTATCTCACTTACGAGTAAAGATAGAGAGTTGCTGTTTTTGCAGTACTTTGCTCCTTTTTTGTGAAAATACAGACGGTATAAATAAATTTTTCTTAGCCCGCTTCGTTTCTGTGATACAGGGCGAGATTGAAAATATTTCGCCCTGTATCTCGGATTTTGATGAAAGCTTTGTAGTTTTAGGTCTAGCGTTGGCGGATCTAGGGCAAAAACGGAAAAAATATAAAACTTGATTAAAGTTAGTTTTAAAATTTGCATATTTGGTGTTATTTTTAGACGTAACTGGTCCAGAAACATATAATCGGATTCACCCCGTATTAATTCCATTAGCGTTTTTTGCGTCAGCTTTGTAATTTATTAAGCATTCCCATGTCATAACAGATATTCCTCATTTTGCTGTTGAATTATGTGTGAATCTAACGTACAATATGAAAAGTGAGTTACTCGCAAGCATCTATGCTAAAAGTAATTATCCACCTGTCAAAATAACATTGTATATATGCTTGTATGCAATGATTTGTTATGCCTAATGATATCAGTGACTATACTCAGTGACATATAAATCCGAACACCCAGTTTAAATGGTTTTATTTTAATAAAAGTTGGTGAATGTATTTATCTTACTGTAAATAACAAGTGAAAAAATTTTCAGCCTTATCAGTTGGACATTCCGGTTTTTATACTGTTTTTTTTTAATTCACTAACGCTCTAAAAATGAATATTTCAGCCGCAGTAAAGAATCAACGTTGGCGGATTTTGGTTCTTGACATCCTTTACGATCGGTTACGATGCCTAGAGTACGGAGACCTGTACGATTTCGTCAACTTAGTGAGTTCGATAGGGGCCGTATAGTGGGACTTCGGGAAGCTGGACTTTCTTTTCGGGCAATTGCAGTTAGAGTGCAAAGAAGTGTAGACACTGTGGTTAGGTGTTGTCAGGCATGGCTTCGAGAAGGCCGTACGCAAAGAGCAAGGGGCACTGGACGCCGCCGTAGAACAACAGACCGTGAAGATCGCCGCCTAAGATTATTGACCGTTTCTCCACTACCAGGTCCATTGCAAATGAATGGTTTGCAGAACATGGAAGACCTATTGGCATGCGAAGTGTTTACCGATGAATGAGTTTGGCTTGTTTTCATACCGGCCACACTGGGTCCCTTTAACTCGAGAACACCAACGTAATCGCCTTGAGTGGTGCAGACAACGGTCACTCTGGGATCAGGAATAGAACAGTATTGTCTTTAGTCACGAGTCTCGATTTTGTTTAGGCATGCACGATGGTCGTGCCAGGGTTAGAAGGCGACGTGGTG